ACACTTGTCCGTCCAGCCTTACGTTGGAGCCAGAGTCCGACCCAGAACCAGAGTCTGACCCAGAACCAAAGTCCGACCCAGAACCAGAGTCCGACCCAGAACCAGAGTCTGACCCAGAACCAAAGTCCGACCCAGAACCAGAGTCCGACCCAGGACCAGAGTCTGACCCAGGACCAGTGGAGAATGAAGATGAAGAAATTGTAGTTGGTAAGTCAAGACCCTATTTAGAAGTTCCATCACAAATAATTCCATGTACCGTGATAATTCAGAAAACATCACAAAAAAAAAAACAGGAAACTGAACAGGCTGAAAAATCTGACCCAAACAGAACATAAAGATATCTTTTCAGCACCAGGAGAGGCTAAATTCAACTTTTCTGCAGAGACTCCAAGTGTTCAAAATGTATTTAACAGTTAAATGGACTTTTAAAAAGAAAAACATTTTTAAATTACGTTAACTATTTGTGCTTTTCTATTCCATCCTGGTGCTTCTGTGGTTCTAAAAGAATCCTCCTTTCTTCCTGAAGTYCAGAACAGATTTTCTGTGAGAACATGAAGTTTAATAGAGTGGACTTTCAGAATGAACCTTTCTGAGATGGTGGAGAGGGGTACTGCATATCAGGGTCAAGTTTAGATCCACTGGACTTCGTTTAGGTCAGTCCAGGTCCAGGTGATGGGAGAAGAGTCCAGATTATCAGCTTCACATTCAGCTGCAGCCGGTACAATTTTTACTGTGACCACATCTAAATCTTTGGGAAATAAAATTTAATTTTAATCATAACCTCTGATTTACAGACAGAGTGGAAACAAAGGTTCTGTTGTCCAAAAAATAAAAAGTTTCTGTTGATCCTGTCAGAAATACAGTCTCTCTACAGCAACTGAAACTAAACATTTCCTTATTTTACAAAGTGAAAAAGTCTATTTTTCCTCTTCTTAAAATCCAGTTTCTGGTTTGATGAACAGAGCAGATAAGGCAAACGCCAGGAAAACAATCCCTCCAATGATTGTAACTGTGGAAACAAATTTTAAACATTATYTAAACACCGATTAATATATAATCACAGTTAAAACACACTGATGCAGAAAAAAGAAAAGCTGAGATCGACCAGAGATCAGTAAAATGTTACCATCAGTGAGTCACAGCAGAGAACAGTGTGTACACGTCAACAAGCAGGAACAAGAACTTTCTATGAACTCAGGTCTCCTACAGTCAGACATCTAAAGAACAGTTACACTCAGAATTAGGACACTTGGTTCCTGTTGGTTACGTGCAGACCATTGGTCCGTGTTTACATGCAGATTATTGGTATTGGTCCGTGTTTACGTGCAGGTTATTGGTCCGTGTTTACGTGCAGATTATTGGTATTGGTCCGTGTTTACGTGCAGATTATTGGTCCGTGTTTACGTGCAGATTATTGGTATTGGTCCGTGTTTACG